TCATAGCCTTCATGAAGATCACTTCCTGTGGTCTATTCTGCTGGCTACCTTAGACTGATTGTCTCCATACCTCAGACGAAAACTAGCCAACGGCACTCCTTGTGCATGCACATATTTGCCTTTGTCTCGTCTACACCCCCCCCCATCTGAAATCTTACCGAGTGCCACAACCGTACGTAAAAGAGTTTAACCCCACCTTTTCGTTCACGCATCACCTTCCCCCTTCCTTCCTTCTTATCTACACCCCCCCCCCACTCAGCGAGTACAACCTTACGTGAAGGAGTTCGCGTCCGAGGTGTGCAGGGACTGGCCCGACATAAAAGGTTTCCTGGCGTGCCACTACTCCCGACGAGTCCCGGCAACGACGCAAGACTTTCGGCGAGCCTTCGGTTTCGCCTTTGCCAACGTTGACGGTGGCAAGAAGGCGTCCTCACCAGCAACCGGGAGCGGTCCCGCCGGGGAGAAAAAGCAGGCGTTCGGCGACGCAGGGGGTTTCTTAAAGAGCCTGGGGTTGGACCGGTTGTTGAAAGCGGGAGGCGGGAGGGGGGGAGGAGACGGCGACAACGCGGACCCCCTCGACATGGTGCCAGAGCAGGATTTGGCCACGCTCAACTTCGTGAACGATTTCGTCGTCAAGTATGGATTGGCAGACAAGGAATGAGTGGGTGCTGTTGCTGCTGGCGAGAGTGGCGGGCGGGACGCGCAAGAGAGAGGCCTTTAGGTCATGAATGTACCCTTTCCCCCGGTCGTGCTGTCTGCATCGATGTGTTCATTGCCATGTGGCAGTCTCGCGTCTCGTTGTGTCGTATGTAACGATCTTTGTTGCTCCGGTGTAGCGGGAGCGGTTAGAGGAGAATTGACGTGTACGTACGGATGGCTGTTGCGGCTGTTTTGGTTATGATCGGTGTGTGCACTGAAGGCAGCATTCAGCGATGTAGGTTACATGCCGTGCGGCGTAAACGTCCTTTCCTGGAGTTCTCGGTGTGTGGTATGAACGCAGTTTTCAGCAAAGCACCCCTGACAACATTCTGTACGGCAAAAACGTCCTTGGCTGAAGGGCCGAGAAGGGAGGCGTAAGACTCTTGGCGCCATCAACTACCATACGTTTCTCCGCGTCCCCACTCAACTACGGCTTACACTTGCCCTCTTTTCTATTTTTGGCGGGTGTGGGTTTCAGCGGCGAATGAGCGGCGGGTAGTAGATTCTGGGTGTCACAGCACATGCTCGTTTGAAAAATTAAGGGCGAGATCATGTGCTACACCTGCCCCGTTTCAAATGTTTGGCGAGGCTGCTTCGGCGAATGAGGGTCAGACAGATTTTTTGCGTGTGACCCCGGTTGGGTCGTCTAGCTAGCCGAAGTTGAGGATAGGGGCCAGAGGGGCAGTCGACAGAATCCAATGATTGGAGAAAAAAATATATATGTATATATTTGCGTCATCAACACAACACACACACCGTTGTACGCTGAAGCCCATGTGCTTACCAGCCCTCTTTCTCAATCGTTTGGCAAAGTGTTGCTTTCGGACAAGCGGTGAATGAATCTGCCCTTGCTTGCCGGGTGTGTAGGGGAGAACAAGGAAGAGGGGAACAGGCTTGCGTCTTTTGATCCACGGAGCTCTGTTGCCCTTGGCTTGCACATACCGAATTTCGTTTCCCTGCCGTGGGCAGTGCCACTGTGGGCTTTGGGCAGATACAGCGCGTGGCCGTACGCAAAACTCTTGCACCACAAGCAAGAGGCTGAGTAATTCCTCTTGAAATGGCACCCACACCCGTGCTTCACGTTATACAGATTGTCGAATGTACGAAAAACTTTCGGGCGGGAAACGTATGGTTGCTGCGACTCCAGGGCTTGCTTCTCGAACGACTAGTTGAGGAAGTCCGAAAGCAACATGAAATTTTCAAACTCGCTACCCGGGATAAACAAGAACCGTTTCCCAAGTGATGGAAGCAAAATCACGTGGTGCTGGTTTAGATCCTTTCAAGGACGAATTGCACCGGGGTCTCACCTTCCCGCGCCCCTACCTACGCATGCAGAGCGACAACCGAGCCAGAAAACGACGGGAAACCAGGCGCCTGCGTGCACTGTGGTGCTTTCTCCTCTGTTTGCATGTGCCTCCCGTTTTCGAGCGATCGATGAAAGCAAGGAGGATACAAACGAACGAAAGCACTCACTTTTCTCCGGCCTACCACACCTTCACCTGCGCAGTCGCCCAACCCCCCCTCAGCGGGCAAACGTCCTTGATAAAAACGAGACAAATCGACTGGAATATAAGCCTCACAGCGCCAACAGTAAAAGCCCTTATCCTCGAGGCAACACCGCCGCTACGGTACCGTCCGACAGCCCCACCAGCACAAAATTCATGCGCGGGTGTGACGTCATCGCGGTCACCGGCATGTCGAGCTTTGCCCTCGCCACAACCTGGTACAGCGCGAACGGGGGCGGCGGCTGCGCCGCCGCCCCCGACTCGTGCCGCTCGTCTCCGAACACCGCCCGGAGCTTGGCGAACACTCGAACCCCGTTCGGCCGCCACGCGCGATCCCACGGCGGCTCCCGCAGTTCTTCTCTTGGCTGTGGCTGTTCCGAGCTCGCGGCGGCGGGAGCGGCCGTACCAACGGCCGCGGCGGCGGCGGTGGCGGCGGCGGTGGAGGTGGCAGTTTCATGTAATGCGTCACCCTCGGAGTGCACGGTGGTCCGTTCCGCTTCGCGACCGGCATCACCGCCGGGTTCGCGTTCATCCGAACCATGGTGGTCTTTGACCGCCCCCTGTCCACCACCGTCCGGTGACGACGCGGCAGAAGAAGAAGCAGCAGCAGCACCATTGTGCCGCGGCAAAGACGCCGAAGCCGCTGTCATCCGCGCCGCGTCCCCGGGCCCCGGTTCGGTGGCCACGGCCGGCCCCCGGTACTTCCGGTCCAGAACCAGGACCGTGCCGTCGCCCGTGATCGCCTCCACCGAGTGCCTCTCCGCCCCGATCTTGATCGACGACGTCACCAGGCCGCTCCTCAGCAGCCGGCCCTCGTCACGCGGGCACAGGTAGCCCCGCACGTCCGCCGAGAGCCTCACCCTGCGACGCCCCGGGGTCGCCTCCACGACCCCCACGGGGAGGCACAGGTCGTAGCCCCCAGACTCCTCCAGCCGGAAGCCGCCGCCCCCGGCGGCCCCGATCTCCCACCCGCGACCGGGCCTAAGCCCGGAAATCCTCGTGGGCCTCTTCGCACCCCTGTCCCCCCCCCCCCCCCCCCCCCCCCCCC